TATTCACTGACAGAAATGAATGGAATGATTTAGTACTTTTTAAGAAAAATCTCATATTATTAGCCTTTCTGTTTCAGCAGAAATCAGAAATGGCATTTCGTGTTTAAACAGAGACATGCATTTTGAAGACATGGATGACTTCTGAACCCCCTGGAAGTCACACAAGCATTAGCTTTTTTAGAAAGGTTTTCAGGAAGAACAGCATTAGTCTAATGTCAGCCAGACAAAAACAGAGTGATATAATTTCATTTATTCGTTGTGCCAACAAACATTTATTAAGCCCCTTACTCTGTGCCGTGATTCCCATTTTATGGAAGAGGCCCCTGGGGCTTCGAGAGGTAAAATAAATGACAGAACCTGTTCTCACACCGGGTTTTCTAACTAAATCCAGTGCTTGTCTATCAAATCACAGCTATGTGTATGCAGAGTAATGGAGTTTCTCGTGAAAGTCTCCACTTCTGCAGAACTGGGACAACTGTATTTTCTCGGGGTGGGGGGGGCCCCAGTGCCTCGAGGGGCCTAGATCTTGGGATGCCGCAGCAGTTGTGTGCTGAATGGGTTCCTGGATGACTGAATGAAAAGACAAGTACTACCTTTTATATTTTTTTAAAAGCTTCCTTTACCCAGCTCAGAGGTTTCTCTCCATGGAAGGTGTATTTTCCCCAAAATAAACCCAAAGTGGATCAAAAGGCCTTTTTTTTTTTTTTTAATTCCTACTCTTCCCACAACATGAAAAAAAGTTCCTTTCTTCCTTAAAATATCTGCACCAGATCTTACAATGCTGTCTCTTAGCGCGAGTGCTTATTATTGTGGCTAATTTGGTCACATGTGTTTGAAGGAGAACAATGCCTCAGAAATTTTTAAAAGCAAAACAGCAATCTGAGGCATTTGTTATAATGAGATGTAAATTGCCAACATCGGTAGTAGAGCCGACTAAAATTTGCAGTGAAATGTTTGTCTCCCCACTCCCTTAAATTAAAAGCACTAGAGGCCCTCCCTCTCCTCCCCCCAAAGAAATCACATGCTTTTTTATTCCTGTTCTTTCGGACTCTGTAATACTGAACACCCCGTTTTACCGCTGGAGTCCTTCCTTCGTCCATGTGCCGCTTCCTGAGCCTCCGTTTTGTGCCTGCCTCCGTTCTGGGCGCTTCCAGGGGCGTCACCAGCCTGCACGGTGGCTACAGGGAACCCCCATTTTGCAGGTAGGAAAAGCCGAGGCATGGAGAGGTGAGGTGACTAGTCTAAGGTCATGCAGCTGTGATTCACACCAGGTCCCCTGAGGAACCCCTCCCAAGATGCGCCTTTGGCTGGGCTGCCCTCCTCGCTGAGGCTGAGGAGCCAGTGCTGAAGAAGTCGGGGGGTCGCAGAGAGCAGCCTCTGGGTGTTGAGTGGTGCTGCGGGAGAATGGCAGGAAGCAGTTTGCCTCGAAAGCCAGAAGATCCCAGTACAGTTGTCCCTGAGGAGACCAGCACGAGCCCAGGGGTCATGGGGGTGCCGCAGGGTGCCAGGACCTGCTATGCCTGCACCAAAGCTACCGAAGTCAGTGGTGGACTAAGACAGGGGCCAGGGGTAACGTGTGTGTGAGGGAGGGGTGGTGCGGGGGTGCAGTGTGTTCTCAGTGCCTCTCTGTGCCACACTCTGGAGTGTTCATTTCACATCTCTGGTCAACTCACTGAGTCTTCGGTCTTGCCACGTCTCTGGTGTGGCTCCTTCCTTCAGGTGAGGCAACAGGGTCAGAAAGGTTAAGTAATTATTAATGTGGAAATTACCTGTTGAGGGTAGAATGTGAACCAGGTGCTCACTGTGCTAAGCCCTGGTCTCAAATAAAAAGACACAGCCCCTGCCTGCCCTCAGGCCTCACAGTCTAGGTGGGGAGACAAGCATAGAAACAGTTGAGTGCCTCTGATTCTTGTGCGTGTGGGGGGGTCCACAGGCTGGGGGGCAGAGCTCCCCCTGCTGAGGAAGCTTACAGCTCACCCTAAACTATAAGTGGCAAATCCAGAATTTAAATTCCATTCTCTGCTTCAGATTCTAAGCCAAGGGGTGGAGAGAATGACCGCATCCTTTTGAAGGGATAGAGTAGCCTCATGGAGCAGGTGGCATTTGAGTCAGGCCTTGAGTGCCTGGTGGAGTTTGGCTGGGTGGACATCTGTGGGGCAGAGTGACCAGACAGCAGGAAGGGCACAAGCACGTTCCTTCCAGACTGGGCAGCTGGAAGGAAGGGTGTTTGTGTGGAGAGGGCCAGGCTGGCACTTCGGTGTGGAGTCTGACTGGGCGGGGGAGGGAGCAGCAGGGGCTGGAGCCCAAGAAGCAATGCTCAGCCCTCACTCCCGATGTCCCTTCAACCCTCACTCCTGATGTCCCTTATATGTCCCTCTGTAGCCCTCAGAATCATCTGTTCTGCCTAGCTGTTTCCGATTTCTGTTTGACAGCCCTAATTTCTACTTCACGGACTGCCAGGAAGGTCACAAAAGTCTAAGAACAGCTCCCACCCACCCCAGCCTGCACCCCCAAACACCTCAACTCAGCAGCAGGGCTTTGTTTCAGGACCTTTGCCCCAGCCTGTTAAAGTCCCCTCCTCCCCCACAACTCTCTCCCCTCCTGTCATGAAGAATTTATTGAGAACCTGCAATGTGCCAGGCACCGTTCTGGGTGCCAAGACTGCAAAGAGAGTAAAATTTTACCCCCAAAGAGCTTCACAGTCTAATGTGGACAACAAACAGATTGGCAGATGATTGCAAACAATTTGCTGGAAGTATTTACAAAATAGAGGATTCCCGCACCCCCCCCCCCCAGCGTAGTGATCAGGGCAAAGCCTCACAGAGGAGACACCTAAGCTCCATTCTTGGCATGCAGATGAGGTGGTATTATGCAAGGCGGAAACAGTAGCACATCCAAAGGCATAGAGACCTGGGCCAGCACAGCATCAGGGGGCCCTGGGCAGAGGGGAGTATCAGGGGAGAGCAAGAAGTGAGCACCAGGAGTAGAGAGGGGGCTGCTTGTTCTGGGCCTTAAGGAGGCTGCAATATATGACCTCATTTTGAGCATAGTTAGGAAGGAGGGTACTAAGCAAGGAAAGACACAGTCTTAAGGAGCTGTGTTTGGCAGCCATGGTGGAGATGGATGGGAGAGAACCGGACTGAAGTCAAAGCTGAACTGGAGTCCTTCTCTTGTCCAGCATCTTCTCATAGAAGGAAAAAGAGGCTTCAAAGGAAGGACACAATCTTGCCAAAGAGGACCCGTGAGCCAGTGGCGACAGGGACCTCATTCTCTCAGCCCAGCCCTTTTTCCTGTTGCTGAATGTCAGAGCAGGAAGGGACTTCAGATGCCAACTGGGCCATGCCCTTTAGGGGAAACTGAAGTAATTACCTCTTCCCTGATCTAAGAAAAGATCAAATGCTCCACTTGAGTTTGTATCTCAGAAATTCAACCTGAGATCTCACACAGAGAGAGGAGAAACTTTGGCATCTGCTTCTGAAACTGCAGAATTCTTCATTCATTGTTGTCATTCTTTTACTCATTTAGCAGACTTTCAGAGAACACCTACTCGGTGCCAGGTGCTGGGACAAAGAGAAGAGCCCAGCCCTTGAATAGATCAGACAGTATAGGAGATGCCATCAGAACAATCATGATGCTGTCTGCCCTTCACTCTGCCAGCTTCTGCATCTACAGTTCACTCCCCGGTGGTCACGCAATTAAAACACAGCAGAGCCAGGCACAGCGCCGAAACTTATGTCCCAAGATGAGCCATGCGTTTCCATCAGCACCGTTCTGCTCCCCGGTCATTTTGCCTTCTGCTTTGTGCAGGTCTCCTGCTTACGTCCTTGGAGACTGCTGAGATTCTGTCTTGCAGATGGCAGCAATTCAGGAATGATAGTCTTGTTCTGGGAAGCTGTGTCATGCGGAATTTTAGTAACAAAATCACCAATACCATCTCTACCACCAGCCAAAGTCTAGGATGTGGCAGTTGAACATAGAATTGCAACTAGCTCGTTAGGGCTTTGATATATAAAGAGCTCTGTACCAAGAGACCCACATGGTTAGGATAAGGGAAGGTTGGACCATGATATTCATCGGTTACTTAGGGTATAGGCATGGCCCCGGGGACCTGCAAGAGCAGTAGCTAAAGCCCTGAGCCCGGACAACCCCCAAAAGGTTTGAGGAGGGAGCATTTCCAGGGTGCCGAGCTCTCCGTTGGCCTTTGGAGTTGCTCTCCTGCAAAAGTTAATCCAGTCATTTAGCCTTATTTACTCATTTTCATTCTGTTTCTCTGCCCTTTGGTAATCAAGACACAATAGGTGATTTAAAAAATAGCCCATCATTTTTAAACGCTAATGGAGAAGAAAAAAAGATTCCCCTTAGAAGCCTCCACCATTTATCCAGCTTCCTTTCACTGTTTAAACTGCGCATAATTTGTGTTGATTGCATTAAAATAAAAATCAGGGTAGCTGCTAGATCAGGCAATCAGAAGCTTAATCTGTATTGTATTTTAATTTCTTGGTTGAAATGCTCCTGTCTAGTTACTTACTAGGTCTTAGGGAGAGGGAGACTTTTGGGTTTCTCCCCAGTGCTTCCCTAACCTCTGTTCTTTGGCTGTGGCCTGCTCCCCTGGAGGCTGCAGAGGTGGGCTTTTCGCAGCTACGCAATTTGCATATTACAGTGATGGCCACCACTTTCTCCACTGGGGTCTTACCAGGACCCCTCTTCTGAGCAGGCAGTTGAGTCCCCTGCATTTCCAGTCAGACAATGACACCCTCAAACACTGCTTCTCATTCCTACTTAGAGTCGAATTCATTCTTGTCTTCCAGTTTTCTTCCTTTTCCCTTGTGACGTTCATATCTCATATTATTTTCCAGCCTGGGTTTAAGTGTAGTCCAATGGACAAAATAAGCCAGCATATTTATTTTGTGCCACTATGTGCTGATAGATGCGTAGTTAAAAAATATTTGCCTTTTATTTTCCTTGGAGTTCTAGACAGATCTCTTTTCTTAACTGCCTAGGTCCCGCCATTGACTTGGAAAAAGTAAAGTCAGAATGTCTCGAGCCCGAGCCGGAGTTACGGAGCACTTTCAGTGAGGAAGCAAATACGTCGTCCTATTACCCCGCTCCTGCACCTGTCATGGACAAGTATATCCTAGACAATGGCAAGGTAGTGTTTCAAGCTCACTATCCATTCCCTGCGAGTGTTTGTTAGCTAGAGTAACGATGGAGAGTATGGTGGGAGCTTCCGGAGCCACAGCTTGGCCGGTTGGCCTCCTGGCCCCGGGCCTGAGTAACTATGTCCAGAATTCGTGTGTTGTAACTAGAGGAGCTGTTCTGGGACTTGTTCTTTTTCTCTCCCTCCCCCCGCCCCCCACACACACCTTCTTCTTAAATACTGGGCCAAAGCAACTGTAAAATGAAACTGATGCTGTAAAATAGCTTAGTAGTGAGAAAGTTTTTAAAAACATGGTAGTTTGATGAAACTTGTCCTACCCTCCTATTAAACCAGATATATAAAATTTGTAAGGTGTACTAGATATGAAATGTCTGATTGATAGATAACTCGATGTGTATGTTTTACTCTTTACGAAGTATCTACATGTTCTAAGCCCTATGCTAGATGCTGAGGATAAGCTGGTAAATGAGACGTGCTCCTAGGATGTCCCGAAGCTGTTTCCAAGCTATATATTCAGCAGGTTAGCCCACAGTCCTAAGACAACATATAACTCCTCAGATTTTCTCGTAAGGCCCTTGGGAAAAAATCGTGAAAGAAAACTTAAACACTATTAGTAGTTACATTGGTACGGGGTGAAAAATAATGGAATAGCTTTGGAAAGTCTTAAAGTCACGTGATATAGCAAGCAGGGCAGGGAGATAACTGTTCGGACATCCTTCTAACATCCAAATGGATTCATCTTGGAAGAAGTATATTGGAGCCCTTTGTCTAGGCACTGGTCAAATTCAGTTTTAGTGTTTTGTTTCTGCCACCATGGCATACATTACAGATATCACCTCTCATTCTCCCCAAAGAATCATCTGTGTCAGTCTATTTTTCTTGCCTCGTGCTTCACAAGGTCTCTGTTTATCCAGTATTGTTTCCCCAGTGGGCTGATGAGAAAGAAAAGGTGGTTTTATTTGGGTTCATCCAGATACATCCCTGCAACTGGCCAGATTGAGGCAAAAAAGTAAATATTGTCAGCTGAGGAAATGCAGTGTGTTAGTCTTGAGGGCTGTCTTGGATAGGCTGCTATTCCATCTCCCACTGAGCGCTGCCTCCCCCGCAGAGGCAGAACTGATGCGCCAGGTCATCGGCCCATTCTGTCTTGACTTGCTCCAGCCCACAGGCTTTAAAAAGTCCGCTTTGCAGGGGACAGGTGGCATGACAGGGTGGATTTAGGCAGCCCAAAGCCTGAATGCGAAGCAGAGCTCTCTCTCTCTGTGCTTTCTGTGCGACCTTGCTTGGATGGGTCCTTTCCTTTTCTGGGCATCAGGGTCTCCATCTTCATGAGGTGGGATGGATTATTGCTCTCCATAGGCCTTTAATGACTCCAACTGTGTATCTAAGTTGGGTGAATCTTCCTCAACTGGAGATAAAAGAAAGGACTATTCTGTGTTTGTTGATTTCTTTTTAGTGATGACCACACTGTAGAGTGACTAGAGACTTTTTCTTAAGATAGCTTCCAAGAGAAATCTATTTCTCTCTTCCTTTGAAGACTGATGGATAGTTTCCGAGCATTATGGGGGCTGCTTTTGCAAAGGTATCATTTTTCCATTTCCAGAAAATGGGTCTCTCAAATCTCATCTAATGTTTTTACAGCAGTTGCACAACAAATCTTAAAATTGCCAATTTTGTTTTTTCATTGGTTATTGCCAACATGTTGCTATAAAACTAACCTGACTTTTGTTTGCAACTAATTGGTAGTTCAGCAGAGAAATTTATGAAGGGAGAGGAGAGGAAGGGGACAGACTAGAAATGGATGGCGGCTTCCCAGAGCAGCGTTCCCTGCATCCTCATTGTTCTTGGCTCTGCTAGGGTTTCTGACCCTTTCTTTCCTCTGCCTGCATGAACAAAAGCCTTAATCTCTGCAAAACCTAGAGCATTAGAATGGGATCCATTTCCTAGTAGGAAACTAGTTTTGTCCTATAAAACATTGCACAAAGTCATTTTTTGATCAAGTCTCATCCTAGCCGATGCCATATTTTTAATAACCTCCCTTGACACATAAGGCTAACATTTTGGTCAAATAGCAAACTATGGTTTATGTGAATAGGGCTCACCACAAAAGTTACTTTGATTTTGATAAAGTTCATTGCTTTTCTTTGTCTAAGATGTTTTATTTCAAAAACTCATTGAAGCACAAAGCTGTAAAGACCATTAAAGTTTAAATAGTCTAATTTATACATGGAATAGATGGGGAAACACATCCAGAGAAGGGATTCCTCTGTAATTATAGAATAGATTAGAGACAGGCAGGTAGGAAGTGCAAGCCAGGTCTCCTGGTTCCCAGGTCAGTGTTTTTTTCCAGTCTATTCTGCTCTATCTCTGAAAGTTGGGCATCGGTCCAGGTGACCCTGAGCTTTGCTAACCCGAAGAGCCCTTGTTCCAGCACATACCTGTGATTGGTTTTACCCAGAGCCATTTCTTTCTGTGCTGTAAAGTTGGCCTTGTACTCAAGTGCACGTCAGAAAATATTTTCTTCTCTAAGGAACAGCTCACCAGAACTGAAAGCCTGTGCCATTAGTACATATTAAATATGCCCATCAGTTTCTTACTGCTTTGTGTTCAGACTAGTCTTGATCAGTATGAAGGGGACAGAAGAGGCAAAGCCTCACGCCGTCCCCATGGAGATGTACCGTGAAGGGCTGAATCAGGTGGTGAAGGCTCTCAGTAGGCTAGAAATTCAGAGGGGATAGAACTTAGTCCCGGAGCAGTTAAAGAGTGTTTCCTGGATTTGGGACTGGGGCTTGAAAGATGAGCAGGCTTAAGAAGACATAGAAGAAGGCATTCATTCCTGGACAGGGGAAAGGCCTGAGCAGGGACATGGCTGGGGGTGGGGAAGTCGGGGGGGGGGGGCGGAGAATGTGTGCTGTCCTCCTGACATCTGATTCATGTTATGTCATATAATCCTCAGAACAGCTCTGTGAATTCGGTGGTTCTGCCTCTTCTCCACCTGAGGAAAGTGATGCTCAGAGAGGTAAAGTGGCTAGCCCAAGATTCCCAGCTAGTAGGTAGCAGGGTGAGGATTCACACCCGGAGCTGGAGCCTCCAGCGCCATCTTTGTGTTACCACACACTGAAAGTAGAAGCAAGGGAAGGAGTTTAGGAGCTTCATCTTGATGGCCATAGCAGGGAAATAAAGGCTAAGAGGTTGACTGGAAAGAGGATTCTAGAGGGCCTCTAGAGCCGACTGAGGAGACTGGGTAGATGTGATAGTAAACAGGGAGCCATTCAAGATGCCGGAGGGTTCACATGGAAACACAGAGTTGAAAGACTGGAAGTCAGCTAGTCAAAGAAGGAAAGCCATGTTTTAGGGAAACTGATCTGGTAGTGGTTATTGGTGGGGGGACGGGTTGGAGGGAGCAGGGACTGGAGACAGGAAGGCCAGCCCGTGGCTTCTTCTGGCTTCCCTGCCTGCAGTAGTGACCTGTGGTGGGGACCAGTGAGGGAAGCGTCTGGACCAGTACAGAGGAAAGCTCAAAAAAGAAGCCCAGTAGAATATCGGTGCGATAGATGGGCTGTGTTTCCACCACATTGTCACCACCATGACACTGGCAGGGGCAGGAAGGCCTGCGGAACACGGGCAATGCCAGTCACACAGATTTGGGTTTGAATCTTTATCCCCAAATTTACTACTAGTATGTCTTCGAAAAGGTAATTTTGTCCTTCTGAATCTCTATTCATGTCTGTAAAGTGGGAATAATAACTTCTAACCTATTTCCATCTCTTAAGGTCATTATGAGGATTAAATAAATTGAGGGTACAATCCAGGTTCTCAAAAAATATTAGTGTCCCCCTTTATCTAGTAGAACATTGGCGAAAATGACTGTCATCTCTCTTTTAAGAATAATAAAAGATTATAGGAAAGCAAGGCCCAGGGTAGAAAAGAGCAGAGATGTTTGAAAAACGGAAGCTGTCTTCCATTTCAAAGGTTTTCTGATTCTGAATTTAATCTAACTCAGATTCCTTGTTTTTCCCCTACATCAGGAAGCTTGTGAGGGTAGCTTCAGAGTGCCACCTAGGGAGGTGACTTGGGGCCCAGCAGGGAGCAGCAGGAAACTAGTCCCCCACATGCCTGATCTGGCACTCGGACTGCCCACCCGCAGTTCAGACTGTGGAGGAAAGAACAGACTTGACCTTGGATCCGTGTTGCCCAGCTGGCCCCAGGCAGCGCATCTCACTTCCAGCATGGCTTATCTTGCCGAGCCATATGAGTAGATGTGCAGTCCTGAGGTTTGCGGCACAGGAAGACCAGGTGGATCTGCTTATCTGATAGCAGGCCTGCAAAGATCTGAATGATCTTGGGAGCAAAGGGAAGCAAAGGCAGATGAGGCCAGGAGGATTGTTACTTACTGGCATTCATGGGTGGGCTGTGTTGCTGGGTTGTTTTGTTTTTGTTTTTATTTTTTACTGACTGGAAAACGTCAGCAATTGGGGAAGGAAGCAGTGTTGCTGACTGCCCTGTCTTCCCGTCTGTGTATGCCCACCTTCTTTTCCAAGCCAGGCTTCAGTAGAAAGCTCTTCAGTCATCTTTGACAGTGGTTCTTGCCAGTCTGCCATCAGTTCGGGTGTGCTCACGGTCTCTCAAACCAGGACCTCTCCCGAGAGGTCTCCTGACCACATGATGTGGATGACCTACAGGTCTTGCTGAAGACAAGAACTTTAGGCAGAGCCCTCTCATTACCCTGAGGAAGTTTAGCTTATTAGCAGGTGCCTCCCCTCCTTCCCCACAGAGGCCATTTCCACCTTCCATAGACTCGTTAGAAACACAACATAAATGGTAGTGTCAAAGTCAAAACTCTATTTTTTAACGATAATATCAGCAAATGGTGTTTGAGTTGTTAAAAGAGCCAGAAAGAGAAACAGTCTGAACACCTGTAGTTCATTGCTAGATCCTTCTGAGTCCTTTACATTTACCAACTCTGCCCTGAAACTTTCAGAGTACTTCCCTTGTAGGGAGCATTATGTTCCGTTATGTGTGCCATCAGAATCAGACTGAGGACGCCGTGGTTCTGTTTGATTTGTGAAAACTATACGTGTTCTGAGCCAGAAGGAACGCAGAGATGAAATCCCCCTTTCCCAGTTCAGTTCACGGGAAACTGAGGCCAGAGGTGGGAAAGGACTTGCACAAACACACTCCGATTGATGGCGGAGCCTGGCCGCCGCCTGCCCCGCTCCAGTGGGGGGTGGCTTTCAGGCTTAGCTGTACGCCGGAATGACTTCGGGAACTTTCAATGATCCTGGTCCCTCGGCTCCACCGAGAGTAACAAATCCGAATCCCGGGGAATGGGGCCTAGGCACCAGTGATTTTTACAGCCCCAGAGGACCCCCGTATGTGCCACTGTGGAGAAGCACTGTGCCAGGATGTGTGTCCCAGCATGCCCATGTGAAAGGGAGAGAAGTCTGTCTAAAGTGTCACAGAGAGAGAAGTTAAATGTATGTGTTCCTGAGATTCGGTCAGGCTCCGAGCGGCCTTGTTATAACATGAGTACAGCTTAGAATCCCAGGCCTACAACTTAATAGTCCGAGTGACTTTTGGCAATTGGCTTCACCTTTCCATCTGAGGTGAAAATAGTGTCTCAACACCTTCCTTCCAGGGTTGCCATGGAGATTTGAGATAGTGGATATAAAGTGCTCAAATAAGGCCCGGTGCATCATAGGTATTTTGTAAATAAGCGTTATTTCCCTTAAACAAAGTTAATGTAGTATTTATGGAATGAGTCCCTTGTAGTTGTGCAGCAATGTCTTTTAAAGGACAAGAAAAGTTTCCAACGCCAGCCTGTCCGACGACACAGGTGCTTGTGTTCTTATCCCTTTCAGGTCCATCTGGGAAGCGGGATTTGGGTTGATGAGGAGAAATGGCACCAGCTACAAGTAACCCAAGGAGATTCCAAGTACACAAAGAACTTGGCAGTCATGATTTGGGGAACAGATGTTCTGAAGAACAGAAGCGTCACAGGAGTTGCCACAAAAAAAAAGAAAGATGCGGTCCCTAAGCCACCCCTCTCGCCTCACAAACTAAGCATTGTCAGAGGTAGGTCACCCAGTACAAACGCCATGACTGAGATGCCGTCCTGTACTCTGTCAGGAAGGTACCAGACCCAGGTCAGCAAACTCTGAAGCCTCTCCATGCCGGGCCCCGGGCTGGGCGCGGGACCTAAGAGCAGATAATGGACCTTGTCCCAGAAGAGCTCATATTTAACAGGGAGATGAGCTGTGGACGCAAGTACGGTTCGGGTCACTGGCGTGAGAGAGGGAGGTCTCAGGAGGGGACCAGACCCCTAGCTGGAAAATCAAGGAAGGATTCCTGGGGAAGGGGGTCACTGCCTTGGGCCTCAGAAGCAGTGCTCCTGACCGCTAGCCTCTAAGTGTCCAAGCCGCCATGTTTCAATGAAGAAAGTAGACTCCATCCACATGTACATTTTGAGCAGGCCCCATGCCAGGTTCTAGGGCAGACAACAAATATGTCACATAATTTCAGGTACCGATGAAGGTGGTGAAAGCATCATCACATGTTATGGCAGGACAAAGAGGGCTGCGTTAGCCGCAGTGGTTGGAGCAGGCCTGCTTGAAGAGGCCAGGGACTGGAGGTGGATGAGGCAGCCCCGTGGAGGTCTGAGGGGTGGTACAGTAGGCGGAATAACAGGTGCCAAGGCCAGCGTGCTTAAGGGATGAGGAAGCTCCAGACGGGCACAGAGTCATGAGTGAGCGGAGAGTGAGGTCAGGGAGGTGGGCGAGAGCGGGTCTTGAGGGCCACGAAGGCCACATGAAACAGCTTGAATCTACTGTACTCACAGGAGAAGGGCAGTGGGGTCTGCTGATCGTGGAGTGACCAAATGGGAGATCAGTTAGGACACTCATGCCGTGGCCTCAGATGGAGATGATGATGCCCTGGACTAAGGTTAGAGCAGTGGGAGTGGGGAAACATGGCCATATTTAGGGTATGTTTTGGAGGTCGAGGTAGCAGGACTCAGCGAGGTTCAGTGCTCAGGCTGAGGTTGGAGCTATAGGGTCAGGCCCATGTCGCCCTGACTCTGGTGTGAGGCTTATTCTGCTCTAGCGCAGCTGCCCTCCTTGCCTGGCTGACTCATGACTAATTGATTTAGGCAGCCACTTATTTTAACCTTTAGTCTGCTTGCTGTCTGAAAGGGTGGTCCTGAGTTGGGAGGTCGCCCTGAGAAAGAGCCCTTCCTGGGGATGCAGTCCTTGCCCTGCTGGATAGGTGACCGACCTCTGACTCCATTATACTTGGAAGGTGACTCAGCAGGTCCCAGAGGCCTTCCAGTGACTGGCTGGCGCCCCATTGTCATGTTGTGGTCTAAAATCATCTACCGCATGTCTGCCTCTGGCACAAGTCTGACCTTCTCTGATTCACCTCCATGTCCTTGGTGCCCGGCACGGGTCCTGGCACACAGTAGGAGCTCAATAAATGCAGTTTGAACAAATGAAACACTGAGAGCGGCAAACTGATCCCCTGACTGACCCTTGGTGTGATTTCTTGTCGGTCGCTTCCCCTTCGTGTCTGAGTTTCCTCAGCTGAAAACTTCCCTCTTCAGACAACTAAAAGGGTAGAATTATAACTTGGAAAGAGTTATGTGTCAACTAGGAAAGAAGTTACCATTCTTTGTTGACAAGTGCGCTGCCTCCATGGAGCCGACGTGACACTGTGATGGTCACATCATTGAAGTTCACTGTCTTTCAGTGCTTCTCAGCTTGCGGACTCTCTCCTGTCTACTCCCGGTGCAGGGTGACGGCAGGTCGAAATAGGAACCAGGTATCTAAAGCCTGGGGTCGAGCCCCAGCTCTGCTTTGGTTTAGCTATGAGCTTACCCCGGTTCCTACTAGATTCACTTTTGTTTCCCCAAGCCTAGTGCGGCGCCAGTACCGAGCAGATGCTTGGTGTCTCCGTCTGGAAAGCCAGGATCGCCGTCCTTGGCCTGGCTACCCAGTGGCCCACACAGACATTTTGACTATTCTTCAAACCCCATTCAGATGATGTCCTGTGCAGCTAATCTGGCTCCCAGTGCTACGGAACAGTCTACAGTACCCCTCAGCTACGTGGCGTAGGGCCATCCCAGACTCACGGTTTTCAGCCGCACCTGCCAAGCCCCCCAGGTTTTCCTCACTGATCCACTCCCCCATTTCCCAAGCTCTTTTTAAACCTTCTCTGCTCTTCCTAACATGATAGTCCACACCTCCCTCTTTCTCAAAAGATGGTCGTGCCTCTTCCTACGTAGAGAAAAGAAAAGTCTCTCCATCTGGATCCCAGCCCCCCTGCCTTCCTAAGTACCTCGTTCCTCCAATTATGCTCCTGCGCTCCCGCTTCCTTCCCAGCATCATTTAAATAGACTTTGACTCCTCATTTCTTAAGAAAACAAATAAAACACTCCCTAGAGGCCACTCCTACCACCTAGCTGTTGCCATGTCTCTCTTTTCCTTTTCACATGTCCTTTTCACACTGAAGGGGTTGTCCACACTCGCTGCCCGTGTTCACTTGTAATGCCGCCGCTGTCTGCTGTCTACTCCCAGCCCTCTCCTTCATCTGTTCTTGCCTCGTTTCCCACAGACTTCCTCCTGTGCAAGTCCAGGGCACGTGTTTCGCCTCCTCCCCGGACTGTCGGAGATGACCTCTCCTCCCTCGCTGAGAAACTGTGCCGCAAGCTCCATTTGCTCCAGCTCCCCTGGCTTCTCATCCCCCTCGTGGGCTCCTCTCCTGCCGCCCTGGCCTCTGTGCCCACGGGGTCCTCTCTCTCACTCCACACAGCGTTCCTCCCTTCCCACTGTGCCCACGGCCCTCTGTGTGCCCCCGGCCCAGGCTGAAATCCACACTCCTCGTCCTGGAGCATGTCTGCTGACCTGGCCTCTGGGGAGCCCTCTGTCCTTCCATTTCCCACTGTGCTCTAACCACAGGGGCCTCTTTCCCCTTCCTTCCTGTTCCCACCATCTGCCCTGCACACCCTGCCTCCGTCTGATCATCCAGGGAGGCCTTCCCTCACAGCCCAGTCTGCAGGAGCCTTTCTGTTGCTCTCCGTCACGTCAGCATCCCCCTACATGAAGTCTCTGCGTAGCATTTCTTGTTTGTTCCTTACTGGGTGATTGTCTTCCCCCCCACGCCCACTGGAATATAAGCTTCGTGAGCATCTTGTTCAGGGCAGGCAGGTAGTGAGTGCTCTGTGAACATGTGCTGACTCAGCGAACGACGCTCCCAAACCTCTCTTCAGCTCAGTCCACACTTCTGAGTTCCCAAGCCGCACATCCAGGTGCCCACTGGCCATCTCCTCACCGATGCCTACGTGACACTGGCACAACTGCACCCCTCCCTGCTTGCTCCTTTCTCCTCTCTCCAGAGCCTTGTGCCCCTCCTGTCTCCCCTGTCTTGGTGAAGGGGAGATGCGTCATGCTTACCTCCTCCACAGGCCTCGTCCTGTCTGTTCTGCCCCCAGATACGTCTCAAACCACCCACTCCTCTCCCCGCCCCACGGCACCTTTCGTCGTCAGGCCATCATTTCCCCCCTACACGACTCCAGCAGCTTCCAGACTCCTCTCCTCATTATGTAACCAGAGTGATCTTTCAGGATCATGTTTGCATGATCCCATTACCACCACCCCGTCACAGCCAGTCCCTGGCGCCCAGTGTTAAAAAGTAAGCTTCTTAATGTGTCACGAAAACACCTTTAGAACCTGGCCCCTGGCCAGTGCTACAGCTTTATTTTTCACCAGTCTATCCCTAGAGTTCTTGCCCTCGTGAACTGTTGTACTCCCTGAGCAAGTCCTGTTTCTTCATTAGGGAATTTGGAAATGCCATTCCTGGTGCCTAGACCACAGGTCATACTACCACCCTGTGCCCGGGCCGCTTTGCCCGGCCAGCTGCTACTACCCACCCAGATATGCTGACGAGAACCTTCCTTCAGGAAGCCTTCCCTGACCTCTCAGGGTGGACGGACACTTCGGTTGTATGTCCCAGAGCCCTTCGTGCCTACCTCTCTTCTCTTTTTACTGTATCTTTGCCTGCCAAGGGCCTGGGGAGGTCCTAGCCACAAGCCCAGAAACGCTTGCCGTGCACATGAACGAGAAGGAAGAATGAGCTGCCCAAGGCCGTACAGCTGGTTAGACCGGAGCCACGCAGAACGAGGCTTTCAGACCTCCTCGTCTCCAGGGGTTTCTTGTCTTACCAGTGCTGGGTCTTTCTTAACTACAAGCAGGCAGGTTTGAAGTCCGTCTCCTATCCCACCATACACTCACCATTTTTGGCCTAATTCTTTGAGCTCCTCCAGACCGATTTGGACTGGTCCTTCCCATGCCAGCTCTTTGTGGATTGAGATTGCTTGCGTTAATTTGATGTTTACCACATGTAGTCTCGTTTGCCATATCAAAATAACAATCCTTGATGCTCCTGAGGATTTTCTCGTCTCTTTGATGTTAAAGTCATTCCTTACGGGACAGCAGCAGGATGGGTGAACACTGACACCATTTTAGAACACGGGAAGCAGGAGGGCTATAGGAGAGTCTTGCTTTAATGCTAAGCTGCAGAATGACAGTTAAACCTTATTAAGGTCAAATGACCTTTTGCAGAGTGTCTGAGTTTTCTAAATGAGCCACAGCATTGAGTTCTGGTTAATTTTTATAACTTTTTTAATAGGACACATTAGCACTGTTATAAACCTTGTTAATTAAGCAATAATCTCAAACGCTCCCTCGCAGAGGGAGACATTCCCAGCAAGTGCAGGTGATTAATATCTAGACTCTAACAAAGCCTTTTAATCAACCTGAGGGGCCATGCAGTGCTCTTGCCCCCAGGACACGAGAATGGTTGGGATTCCGGGGAAGAACTCTTGTAAACCTTTCTCCATTCAGCCCTTTCTCTTCCTGCCTCTTCTGTGACCCCTGCCAGGGCTCCAAGGGCCATCACGCCCACCCTCCTTCTCCCCCCTTCTGTCTCCTCAGCCTCTTTCCCACCCTTCTGCCTTCCAGACAGCTGAAGACTTAGCACTGGAGGAATCTCCTTGGATTATGGGGTCTGCCATCCTACTTTCACAGGTGGTAAACCGGAGACCCAGAGGGGTTACCACTTAGAGGTTGCACAGCAACGAGGACAAGAGCCGGATTCGAACCCCTGAACTTTGAAATGGTTCACAGCTTAGGTTGCCTCCCTCACTTGATTCAGGTTCCAGCAAAGTCACTGTGAGTGTCTGCTTCCTCCTGGCCCAGGGCTGGAGTTGGAACGTCCAGGCATTCCTGTCTGCGGGGGAGACACTGGTCACAGTTTTATGAGACCACGGTCAGTGCTTGGAGAGAGAAAGAGCCAGCGAGAGCACAGAGGCTGTCAGCAGAGTGGGGTCTCCCAGCTCAGTCTGGGATGTCCCAGGGAGGCTGAATCTGGAAGAGTGAGTAAGGTTTAGGCAGCTGAAGGTTGGAGCCAGGCTAATCAAGGAAGAGACGATCAAAGACATTGATTTCTGGGATAGTCTGCAGCAGGAGGGAATTGCAGGTGGACCCAGCAGAAGGCAGGAATGGAGAGAGATGGGGCCTCCTACCTTCTTGTCTCAGTCCCTGTGGAAAGGCGAAGACAAGATGAAGTGGAGATTAGCGGGCTTGGGAGTAGTCAGGGAACAGTGGAGGTCAGCCAAAAGCATGTAAAGTCTTCTCTGTGCAGACCCCTTCTCCGTGGGGAGAGCGGGGTGCCCCGGACTCAGAACACCTGTGGCGCATGACCCTGCAGCATGGATGGTACCAGGAGGCAGGCTGGCTGCACACCCAGGAAGGGCTCGGCATTGGGGGCGGCAGCTGCGGACTCGGCCTGTACTCACCTCCTTTCTGTAGGCCTCTGCCTCCTCCTGCCGGTGGAGGGATCAGCATGTGGTAGGCCCTGCAGTCCCTTGGAGTGCTGACATTCTGCATCTCCGGTAGGACTACCTGCTATGGGCTGGCCTGGTAGACAAGATTTTGTTTATCTTTCATAGCACTTCCTTAAGAGTGCGTCATCATGCCTGTTTTACAGGTCGGGAAGTGCAGGTTCAAAGAAGTTAAAATTCTTGTCCACGATTACGTACCCCAGTGGTACATTCCCATGCACTCCTCCAGTCCCCTCATGTCCCCTCCAGTTTCCTTGGAAAAGTCTTCACTCATTCACTTAACACGTATTTGCGTAACCTTGCCCCTCTGCAAACACTCTGCTAGGCCCTGGGAACAAACCACTGTAGCTACATAAAATACTTGTAACAACTCCATAGAGGTGCAGTGTTCCTTACTGTTTGAAGAAGGCTGGCAAAATGTTTATCTCACATGCTTCATGGCAGCCTTAAAAAAGATAACCTGTGCTTTGTTGTCCTTGGTTATGAGGTGAGGAATCTAGGGCAATGATTTGCCTCAGGTCCCCAGGCTAGGAAGTGGGCTGAAGTCAGGCTCCTTGTCAGACTTTGTCGGAGGCCTGCTCTTGGCCTCATCACATTGCAAATGTCAGACTCAGTAAGTGTGGCCATCCTCAGCCTCAGTAGTAATCACCACGATGAGATACCACTTCGCACCCACCAGGCTGTCAAAACCTTAATAACCTGACAGTGTCAAGTGCTTTTGAAGACACGGAGCAACCAGTCCTTGCATACACTACTTTTAGGAGTGCCAGTCAGCGCAGCCACTTTGGAAAGCAGTTCACTAGGCATCACCTAGTAGAGTTGAGTATGCACATACCCTAGCATTCGGTAGTTCCACACAGAGGCCCGTGCTGGAGAATTTCCTGCACGTGCACTCCACAAGACACGTGCCAGGGTGTTGGTAATTGTAGAACACTGGACACAGCCCCAAGTATCCACTGACAATAAATGGATCAGCAAATGGTGGAATGGTCCTTTCAAGAGAATACTACCCGTCAGTGACAATGAATGAGCAGCAGCTGCAGCCTTCCACTTGGGTAAATCACGAAACCGTAATGTTGAGTGAAAAACAGAAAGTCAGAAAGATATGTAAGGTACAGATACCCTTGTAAAACAGTTAAAAAACAGGGAAGAGTAAACAATATGTTATTTAAGAATGTGTACATATGTGATAAGACTAAAAGAAGAGGAAAAAATTCAGGAGAGTGCTTCCCTCTGGTGAAGGTGGGCTTGGGAGGGGCATCCAGGGGCTTTGAAAGGACCAATAATGTCTTATTAAGCTGGGGCTGGGTAGTGGGCACATGGATATTGTATCGTTATTTTTAAAGTAGAGACCTACAGTTTATTCTTTTCTAAGTACACTTGTGATGAAAATTTAAAAATACAGCTGTGCCAGACACAAGACTTGGTATTTGGGAGGTATGTCAAGAGGCTCATTTTGTTTTTGCCCCCTTAAAAGATTGTACTCCAATCCACCATTAATCCTTGGCCATCTTGTTTCTTTCCCCTGTCTAGAGTGTTTGTATGACAGAATAGCACAAGAAACTGTGGATGAAACTGAAATTGCACAGAGACTCTCCAAAGTCAACAAGTACATCTGTGAAAAAATCATGGATATCAATAAATCCTGTAAAAATGAAGAACGAAGGGAAGCAAAATACAATTTGCAATAAACTTTGGATTTTTCATAAAGCCTTATCGTTTTCCTTGCGTGGCTTGTGATTTGCGGGCGATGGTGCTGTCCAGATCAGACCCCACCGTGTGTGGTGGGATGTGGGCAGGGAGCCAGCAGGTTTCCAGGGTCATCGGCTTACCCTGAACTTGGGACTCCCCATTCCAAAGAAGTCAGACAGATTTGCTGAGACTCAGGCAGCAACCTGGTGCCAGCGCCATTCTGGGGATGGGGAAAGCACTGTCTTTTCGGAGGGGGATAAAGTGTCTCTGAGTTGCCTATCACTTGACTAAGAATTTGAACTAATATTTTTACCATTCAAGAACTTCTATCTCTGTTCCTCTATTTTGTTCTATAATAAAGCTTCATTAATTCTTTGATGTAGACAATCATTATCCTCATTTATTTAAGGATATCAAGTGTACAGAGGAGGCGACCAGTGTCCTTTGAGGGCGGAACATTCAGGCTGAAAGCAAGAAAATTCATAAGGGGTGTGATTGCTGTCTGCAGATCTGAAGGGCTGTCTCGAAACCAGATTACTTTCTCTTACTTCAAGGGACAGATCTAGGACCAGACGCCTTTCTCACTCAAGATGATCTGAGATCCAGCTTCCTTGATAAATTGAATCCATCTCTGTGAAAGCGTGTAGGGGGTGGTAATGTGAGATGTGGTCCAACGTTAACCTTCAGGAAGTAGGGGGCAATGTCACCTTGTGTCAGTTCGTTTATCCTTTTATATCTCAAATGATCTTTCAAGTTACATAATTTTTATCTCATTCAGCAACTGCTTCGCTAAGGTGCCTGGTGCACAATCTGGCAAACCACATTCGATCTTCCTGTTGATTTGCACTTCGTGTAATGCCTGTGAAGTCAGCATGGTGTATTGGAAATGGCAGGGGTTTGGGGCTGAGCGCCTGGGTTCCAAGCCTGGCTCCCTGCTTGCTTTGGGCTTAACCTAATCTCTTGAGTTTCCGTTTTCTGTTCCGTAAAAAGGAGATGATATCTACCTTGCAGAGTTGCTATAAGAATTCTTTATCTATATATAAAGTGTTCAATAAATGTTGCCGATTATTATTTTCTTCATTTCTGGTTATTGGCTTTTAGGCATTGGTTGGAAAACTTCGGCCTCTGGTTTCTCTAATACTTTTTTTATCCACGAGACCATTGAAGGTCTATAAGCAAAAGGTAAGGGTGAGTGGGATGAGTAGGGGAGGTGGCTGCCTCTTTGAGGAATTTTATTTTAGTAAATAAAAGGATCCTTTGTAATGTAAAATATTGTATGCTTGATAGTAGGATGTGTAGATGTGAATTTCCTTTTATGGCATTTCCCCAACTTTCCACAAACTAGCAGTGCAACCTTGGGCTGACTGCTTAACTTCTCGGAGTCCTTATCAGTATAATGAGGAAAATAATGTCTACCTCACAGGCTGTATGGATAATTAAATAATAACAATAGACAATATGTGTCAGGACTTTTCTAAGTGTTTAACACAGTTTAACCTGTTTCACGAGTAAAGTACGTGACACTTGGTAGCAGCGTTCGATAAATTCATGCTATTAAAATGGGTTCACTTCAGTGGTGTGGGCATGAGTAGTGTGGAATGCATGAAAGAGACTGGGAAAAAGTATGCGTTATTCTTGAGCTCATCCCCCTTCTCCCCTAACCACGGCGAAGACACAGATGCCCAGAAGCTCTGTGCGTTTCCCTTCAAAGACTTACCATACGGTAACTGCTTTATAGGTGCTTTTAGATTAGTGGGGGGAATAGTCATGGAAATATATTTTAAAACGCTGTGAGAGATGTGAAAGTGCTTTGGGTAATGTACATTGCCTATAGTAGGGACAGAACAGGGTGTGAAATGGTCTGGGATCTGTGTTCAAATCCTGACTTTACCACTTCTGGCAAGGTCCTTTGGCCTCTCTGGGGCTCATTTCTTTTAAAGTGGAGATAACGATCCCTAACTCAGGGTTGTTGTGGAGATTATTCCAGGTAATATCTGGGAAAAGGGCTCTGGAGATCTCAAAGAGCCACGCAGATGTTAGTTACTTTTAGCTTATAAGGCAGAATAAAGTCAAAAGTGGTTGTGACAAGGAAGGACATAGAGCCAATTCTGATGGGGAGTGGTTCATACCCTAGTTAGACTGAGATGGTTTTGAGCCCCTCTTGTGTACCGGGTGCCCTGTTACTGCTATACAGGGCAAGGCCATCATTCCTATACCTGCACAGATGAAGAACTGGGCTCAGAAAAGGCTAAATAGCGTGTTGGCCCAGGTCTCAGATTTGTCAGCAGTGGAGCCGGGTCAGAATCCAGGTCTGAGCAAAATCCGCCCTTTTACCTCTTCCCTGAAAGGTGAGTTGGATGTTAAGGCCTGGCCTGAGACTAAGACCTGTAATTTCAGGGTATATTTAGAGAGACCCAACCTCAGTAACCAATGGAAATCGGTCTCATTAATTCAAGCCATTTGAAGGAACCATAGTACCATTTAAAAGGATTCACAGTTTTATTACCTTCAAATACACAAAATTCAAATTCATTTTGTGCACTAGAAAGTTTCCAGACAGGTCCAGTATTAAGAATTTGCTGAGGCTTAAAATACAAACTTCTGGGCCATGGCTTAGTGAGCTTGAGTCAGTAAGTTTGAGATGAGGCTGGGAACGTGTATCTGACCACAAGCTCCTCTCTCGAATAGTATCAGTCTAGAAGTCATTAGAAGACCCGCTTTACTGAAGGAACAAGAGTGTTTCCTACGTAAAAAGACATGCTCCTTCCCAAGTGGCTGAGGATACCGGAAACAGAATAAATTTTCTTTTAAATAGCTGAGGCTCCGACCCGAAAGCTTGTTTAGAGTCACTCTTTCCTGGTCACCGAGTGCCGTTCAGTTGGACACGATGCAGAAGGTGACTTTCAGTTTAGGCCCCAATGAGCATCCCCTCACTTTCATACTTAGGTTCTTTCTTTCCATTCCTGTGACAGGCCAGTGAGTCATGGAGGACGGGACAGTCAGGACTGAATCGGCAGAGCCCGGCTGGATGGGGTTTGGGCACTGTCTTCAGAAGTCCTGGCAACAAGTTCTCGGTTACCAGACGAACCTAAAAGATGTGGCTTGTTTTTATTTTCTGGCAGAGGAACGTGTGTGAGTGACCGTTCTGTGCCTGTGGATTTCTTGGATGCATTTCAAATTATGACTTGGTTTTGTAGTTACAAAGAAATAAAAGCCACTTCACAGAAATTTTTGGAAAAATAGGGAAAAACATTCCAAATAGAGCTACTGCAAGCATCTCTTGTAGTCTCTTTTTAAATGCGTGAGTATGTATTTTGCATACCTGTGATCATAGCATATGATCAGGTTTGCATCCTTCCCTTTCCATTTATCATGTTTCCCTGCTGCTCTGTGAAACCTAACCATCCGTTCCAACATCCACCAAGTGGACGGATGTCAACCTATAGTGGAATAAACCATCTGCTGGGCTGTGGGGCTAAGGCAGAGGGCAGCCAGCTCCTGAAAGGCACCACTGCACACACAGGTCCAGCGTAGGAGGCAGAGAGAGCCTGAGTCTAGAGGTCACCTCACTGGAGTTCAGTTCCCAACTCTTGCACTGACTGCGTCACCTGACCTGAGTTACGTCTTCCTGAACACCAGCTTCTTCATTTGCAAAATGGAGGAAATAACGTCCCATTATGGGGTTGTTAGAAGGACTGAGAATGTAATTAAAGTGCCAGGCCGGAGTGGATAAAGGGCTACCAGGGTGAGAGCTGACATTCCTCTCTTCTTCTCTCCCACACCCATTCAAGTCCTCCCCCGAGTGCCCCGGTCCATTCTCCAACCTGCTCAGACCTCTCACATGGTGACCTTGGCTTTCACACCTGCCTTAGGCCCTCCAGACAGCTTGAGTTTGTCCCACAGCCCTGGGTGCTCGTGGGCTTCCCCCACCCCCCACCTGCCCAGCACACCAAGCAAGCCCCTCCCTGCCTTCCGGCTCCCCTTGCCTGCCTCAGCCCCTAGCCCCACCATCCAGCTGCCCATTTGCCCTTCCTTGTCTTTTAGGTTGTTTATAAACAAAACTCAGGGGAAGATTTTTGTGTACACAGTTTTTTTTTCCCTTTGTATTTTCTATCATTTTCTTAAGGTTGTTTTTACCTGAGTCAAAAGGAATGACATCTTTTTATCATTCTTGATACATAGAATGAATGTGACCATGTTTTAAATTATTTTGCCAACTTACTAGGTGAAAACTAGTACCTCATTATATTTTCTTTGATTATTTCTGTGATTGCACATTTCCCCAGAGTTTGGTTTCTTATTTTCAGTGAAAAAATAAAGGCTTAACCTGTAAGCATTTCCAGCAGAATCCATTTCATTTTCTGTGTTTAGTTTTCTTTGGACAAATGTGTTTACCTTGAACATATAATTTTTACTTTTATATCTGCAAATAGACATGTCAACGGATACTTTCATCACTTCTTTCAAAGGGATTGATCAGTGTGTGCCAAACAGCTTCATAGGCTCGTGGAACTTCCGGGTCAAAAGTGAATTTGGAGGTCCTCTACCCAGATCTCCTATCCACTAAAAGCAAATGCCTTTATAGACCATGCTTGCATACCTTCAGGCATAGGGGAGTCATCTTCCTACCCAAGAATCCATCCAATTATTGCTATCACTGAGATGTTCTTCTGTTGAGCTAAAAATCTACTTCCCTGAGACTTCTAAGGTCGTTCAAATTCTTTCCTCTGAAGTCACACACAACGCTTCTTGTTGTTGAGTTGAAGGTGGCAATTATGTCTCTTCACCAAGTAATAAGTAGTTCAAATTCTGTTTTACCATTTTCAGATAAGGGAGGCTACACAGGAAAGAGTGGAGCTTCTGGACTTAGCCCTGTGTTTGAATTCTGACCACCACTTACTAGTATGTGACCTTGAACAAGTGCTTAATCTCTCTTAGCTTCAGTTTTCTCATTTTTAAAATGGAAGCCTAGGGCGCCTGGGTGGCTCAGTTGGTTAAGCAACTGCCTTCGGCTTAGG